CCGGGGCCTGCCACGCCGGCCCCGGCCTCCCCGTCTCTTCAGTCTCTCCCTGGGTCACCCCACATGAGGGGAGAGACAGGTTGGCCCAGTGGGATGGGGGGAGCCAGCTCCCAAAGGACGGGGTGTGGGTTTGTGTCTGTCCCAGCACACAGTTTGGCACAAGGCCTGGCACAGGAATCTAAGTCAAGCAAAAGGATACAGTTTGGTGGCTCAACTCCTCCCAGAAGCTACCCCTCGGCTACCCCACTCCCAGAGGGATTTCCCTTGCCCCTGGCAGGGGCATCGCAGCCTCCCACAGGGGTACCTTCACTCTGGCATAGTCGGCAGCACTGATTTTATCCGTGCAGATGGGGGCCACTGGCACATAGCCCCGGAGCTGGGAGCCACGGGCCGTGAGGAAGGGCAGCGAGTACATGCCACTCAGAGACGGGCTGATCACAACTGGGGGGCCCAGGTCCAAGGCACCCACCACAGCTGCCAGGAAGCTGCTGGGGACCAGCTCCCCGACAGGGGCAGGGGCTGTTGCGTCCTTGGAATGCCCCAGGCCTGCAGGGATTTCAGTGTGGAGGAAACAAGACAAGCCGGTGAGTGGGGAGGGTCCCTTCCTCCAGGAAGCCCTCCTAGGACAGTCTCTCTGTGCAGCATGCCCGACTTTATTTCTGCCGAAGTGGGACTGTCCTATCTGTGGCCGGCATGAGGCCCCTCCCTCGTCAGTACAGCGCTCTGGAAAGAATAGGCCCTAAAGTCCAACATAGCCAGACCCAAGTCCCAATTTTCCATTTACTATCAATGTGATCTTGGGAAGGCCCCTTGGCCCTCTCCACTGCTGTTTCCCCAGCTGTTAAAGGGGGGAAGGGACCTGCGGTTAGGATGGTTGTGAGATGGCGCTAACTGCTCAAGGGGCTCCTGTCCCAGGGAGGGGGGGTGAGTGCCAAGGACAGGGCCGAGCGGCTGGCTCTGCACGCGTACCTCCCTTGCAGTGGGTGAGTCCCGCCATCCCCCCAGAAAGATGAGCTCAAGACCTGAGCCTGGAAGCTCAGCCCAACCCACTGTCAACCAATCCCGGCTGGGCCCGGAGGCCCGCCCTGGGCACTGAGGCCACCCCAGCCAAGGCCAGTGAGGGAGCAGGTCAGCCACCCGGGCAGTCCCTTCCACCCCCGGCACCAGGGGTTAGGACCTCCCCCCAGCCCAGCTGAGGGCTTTCTCCTGGGATCATGACCAGCGAGCGGGAGTGAGCGGCTCAGCCACCCACCAGGACGCTCAGCCACACTCTCTGGGCTTCCAGCGGGCCTAGGGCTGTGGCTCTGTCAAAACATGTTTCTTCCAATGGGCTGAGCCCCAGTTATTGTGTCAGGTCCTGGCCACAGAGTCACGCGGACATCATTCCATGCTCACTAGAGCCAACCCCCACAGGAGCGTGGTTATCTCGCGTTACAGACGGGGACACAGAGGCTCTGAGACACTGCCCCCGGCAACACCCAGAGCACCTGGGCAGTGTCCCAGCACATCCGGGTCAAGACAAGGGGAGCTCGAGTTCTTGCAGTTTGCTCTGGGCCCTGGCCCAAGTCCCCCCAGGCCCCCAGACCCGGGTCCCCAAGGAGGTCCCCACCACCCCTCCAGAACAGAATTCTGCCCAGAAGTACCTGGCAGGTCGATGGCCACTGCCCGGTAGCCTGCCTGTGCCAGCCTGAGCAGCGTGCCCAGGTTCTGCCAGGTCTCGGAGGAGAAGCGGATCCCATGCAGCAGCAGCACGGAGAACCGGGCGGCCTGCCCTCCGCCCGGCCGCACCTCCCGGAAGAAGAGGCTCTGGCCCTGCACCTGGATGGTGCCCTCCCGCTGCTCCACGTCCGCCATGCTGCTGCCTGCAACGCCTGCGGTTCAAGACCAGGCTGATGAGCCACAGGGCAGCCTGCCCCGTGGAGCGGAAAAGCCACCACAGAGAGGGCAGGGTCCAGGGGAGCGGCAAGCCCCCCAGCCTCCCCCTACCCCCGCCCCAGGCTCCCAGAACTCTAGGAACAAGCTTTGGGGCGAGGAAAACGAAGGTGTTATTTCTCTCTGCCGTTCACTTAATTGTGTGGTCTTGGGCCTCAGTTTCCTCATCTGAAAAATGGGACATGAAAGCCTACATCAAGAATTAACAAGGAGAAAAAGAACCGGCAAGAGGGTGTCTGCCCTTGGAAAGACCCCAGTACAGGGGCTTCCATTATGATTCTCGTTCCCACTGGCATCCTTTTCTGCAATGGGGCTAACCCGGGAGCACTCAGCTCCTCGGTGGCCGATGGGGTCAAAGGAGGCCGCGCTTGTGAAACCCTGCGGCCCGCCCAGCGCAGACTGCGGCGCGTGGGAGTTGCTGGGTCACAGTAAGTAGCCGTTATTTTGTTCATCGACCTCTTCCTCTTCGAGGCGCTGTGAAGGGTCGGAGTTTGGCACCGCAGGCAGGAGAGGGTCGGGGCTGGAGAAAAACACCCATTTTCTGGACGCGGAAAGCGCCGCGCTCAGAAGAAAAAGCATTTGGAATTCCCGCCCGCAAGGGACGTGGGGCGCCGGCGCGCTGACGCCGTGGGCAGGGGGCGATCGCGGCGCCGCCGAGGCTCGCTCTGCGCCCTCCCGGGACCCGGTGCTGGCTCGGCGGGC